CAGTAAGAGCTTTATTACATCACTTGTAATAATATCAGTTCATATTAATGCCGAAGCTTAGAGGGGTTATAAGAGAGTAACGGAATTTTTTTTTTTGTAAAGACTGTGTGATAAGGACGAAAGATGTTGGATGGTAAAAAATGCGCAAACCACACCAGAGCACCCGTCAACCACCCACGAAAAAACTCCGGAAGAAGGCACAAACACGGGCATAATATGCTGGTCGACGAAGCTGACTGACAGCGACAGTGACCACGTGAAAATCGGAGCCCATCAGACGAAACGATATAGAAAATGAAGCAAATCGCGACAGAGAGAATTTTGGTCCGAAATCCGTCTCGTAAACGACAAGGAAACGCCGTGACCTTTTATACCAAGTTTTAATTGTTGGAGCGATTTATTTATTTCCTCACGCTGTATCCTTAGAAAAGGCGCCTTTCATGAATGTTCCTCACTTCACCCAGGTGGGAATGTGTACTTGGCTTCAGGCAGCAAAAAAATTGTCAGTTTGTTAGTGTTCGAGCGTTTAATCGGTTGCTTTCACTGCATGTTTCTTGGGAAGCCGAAATTGTTTGTGAGTGTTCTAAGGTCTGTTAGGGGTATATAGGGTGGAAAGTGCACAGAGCTTGCTGTTGGTCAGAGACATGCGCTATATAAACGGTATTTATCTTAATGATATTATAATTACCTTGTGTGAAAGACAAGTTGAAGTTATCTTAAGCAGGGGGGCAACAATCAATACTTTTTTGCCACCTCTTCTGTTGTAATTCACAATTTTTGTCTGAGTTTAAAACTGAGTAACATACACACTGTGCGAGAAGCCGTACTGTCTTATAATAATGACAATAACAATAATAATGATAATAATAATAATAATAATAATAATATATGTTATGATGATAACAATAGTAGTAGTAGTAATAATTGTCATCATCGTCATCATCATCATCATCATCATCATCGTAATAATAATAATAATGATAAGTATCACTTCCGAAGCACCCAATTCCCCATGCAGGTAACTGAAATCTTCATCCTGTGTTTTTCATCTATCAGCTCAATACGACCCCCTAGAAGTACCGTTATTTCTTCTTCTTCTTTTCGTACCGTAAGTGCCAGAAAAACATCCCTCCTCCCCCCCCCCACTCGTAAAATTAGGAATTCCTCAGTAATGAATACCGTCTTTATCTCCAGAGCCCCCCTGGTGAGCTAAGTATTGAAGTAGGTGATGTCACAACCCCCGCTATATCTGAACTGGCGTGACATATCATATTATTTATAGCTCTACGCGCGGCCATGACAAACGCGTTCGCTATGAGGCTACATAGCCTGCTGAGAGCGCCATCTGGAGACACAGAAGTGTCAGTAGAGAAAAGACCTGAGCCCCCCATCCCCACCAGCGCACCCCACCCCACCCCGCCCCTCTTTTTTCTGAAGGTTCTTAATTATCCAGGATTAAATTAGACCAAAAATAGTTCCACTGCAATACATTATGTCATGCTTATACAGTTTGTTATCTTCTTTAATTTTTTTTTTCGTAGCGTATTCCAAACTTTTAGAATTTTATGAAAGATTCTTTTCCTCCTTCACACAATTTACTATAAGCATCAGGCGCACGCAGAAACGTGTATTAGACTCCCCAGTGCGGAAGGTTGTTGTTTTATGTTGGGTTTTTAAAAATATTTGTTTGGATTTTTACTCTCGGTCGAGTACCTTCGTCCGTCTGCTGGAACCTTGTTTTCATCCCTCTCAACTCGCGTTGACCCTGGCAGGCATGGTCGGTGTAACCCGCCTCCTAAATGGTCTAAATTATGTCAATGAGGCTGTAAAAACATTAAAAGTTACAAATTAATTTTTCCTTTTTTGAAATCACAGTTTTGAAACTAAATTTTCCTGATACACACACCCGGAATCTCCACTGCCAGTGGGGCCGCTTCGGGTCTCGATGACGTCATGCGCGAAATATGATGTTAACGTGTTTTATGAATGGCGCGTTGAAATTTACTTTTAACGAATCAAGGAGTAGATGTTTACAATCTTCATCAACGTGTCCGTTCTGACATGTTTAAGGGAATGTTTCTGGTATCAGGTTCGGTAATCTACTCTTTTTACAAACACTTCCTGCTCTACCTGGACGCAGTCCTATAAATATCCGGTTTTTCAAGGTTAACATATTAACCTTGAAATAAACTCTTCACTGACGTAAGTACAGACAGGCAAACATACAGAGAAAGATATTTGGGCAAAGCAAGTTTCGGTTTTATTCTGGGGGGGGGGGG